GTCATCCAAACTAAACGTGTATACAAAATTTCAGCTCAATCGGTTGAGGACATCAGCTTCAAAATTAAGTTGCAAGATTCCATCCGAACATTTTACACTTCAATTTAAATAAAAGCTTGTAAAAAATGAATCAACTCGGTTAAAAATGGGAAGTATGATAAAAAATACTGCTCTTTAAAGGATAGTGAAGCCAGAATATCATAATAATTTTGCATTTCTTTTTTATACCTGAAAAAATGTTCCAAATTCGGGTCCTATTCTTTAACATTAACCGAAAACAACCTTAATGCAAAAAATAATTAATATATACTTTATTTCACTCACTGTTTTAATTCTGGGAACCTATTGACCTCACCAATGTAATTATATTTCTTTGTTTACTATTTTAAATTATTTTCAATTTTTGAGGTCGTAAGGGCGGATAGTCTATGTCATTGGTCTTCATACTGTGTTCCACGGAGCCCTGGGGTTCCACGAGGCATTTTCAAGGGTTCCATGAGTTACAATAAAAAAATCGAAAAGAAAATTTAAATGTGTATGCAAAATAGATTCACGTTCTGTATGAAGTTTGTATACCCATTAAAATTTAAATCTCGCATCCCGTCGTCAAAAAACTGAAAATTTTATTTCTACGTATAATAACTTTATTTTGCAACACTTTTTAAACTTTTATTATAATATAATAAAAGAACATTAAAATGTTTTATTTTTATGCATTACCTACAAGATTGTAAATATATTTTATTGTTTACTATCCCTGATTCTACGGGATAATTGTATACTTCTTAGTACAATGTCTTGCACAAAACTAAATAGTTTTCCAATAAAAAGTGCCCCTTTTGATATTTGTTGAAGAAATACCTATAATAAAGGAGATGGAACAACTTATGGACCTATTAACATATTCGATATCAAAACTAAATTTAAGCAAGAACAGCTCCTAATTCTTATGCTGCAAATTCATGCAAAATACACAGTATTTCTGTAAACATTTTAATACTATTCAGAGCAATGTGTATAAGTGAAAAATATTTCTCACCCTAAGTCAGTGCTTCTCAAACTTTCTATACTTGCGAACCAATTTTCAATCCTAATTTTCATCGCCCCCCCTCCATACAATAACAATGTATTCGAATTCAATAATATAATTTGACGTAAAGCTACATATCGACTTTAATTATAAATTATCATTATACTTGTCCTGGTAATTTGCAATTTAATTTAAAATTACAAATTATCAAGACAAGTATTAAATTTTATATATTATTTTATGATATGCTCACATAGGGTCACTGGTAATTACTAAGCTTGTTCTTAACTTAGTACTGTTAAATTAATTATGAAATACATTGCGCAGTACTGATACATTTATAAGTGTATTACATCAGTGTAAATGTGTATTTTACTGTTTATTATGTCGGGATGTATTTTGTGTTTTACTTCCTTTCAATAAATTAACATTTTTATTTATTCTTTTGTTTTCGACTTTTCGATATACTCGCGCCTCCCTTGTAAGGTTATCACGCTCCCCAAGGGGGGAGTGCCCCACAACTTGAGAAACAATGCCGTAAGTGGCTACAAAAACAAAGTATAGATAAAAGTTAAGCTCAGGATATACAATGCGATTGCTGTTAATTTCAATAGGCCTAGACTTCGACTAGTGTGAAAAAATCAAGCACGTATCCCAGTTATTCAACCTAATGCATGGATCGGTGACACTTGGATCCCAAATTAAGACCTGCCTCAGATCAAGACAGACACCAGCCTTCTTCCTGCTAGTGTTCTCGAATTCTTAGTTCTCAAAACTAGATCTTTTTCTAGGTCATCAATCCATCCAAGATTTGGCCTGCCCTTTCTTTGTGTGCCAATTAATTGAGCTGTGAAAAAACTTTTTTAGAGGTGCGGTCTTCGTTCATTCTGACAACGTGACCTGCCCCTTTAACTCATTGTATTTTGATGAAGTTAACAATGTCAAATTCTTTATATGATTGATAGAGCTCTAAATTTGATCTTCTTCGCAATGTTCCAATTTCCTGAATTCCTCCAAAAATAAATCTTAAAAATTTCCTTTCATAGATACTTCTCATGCTCTCATCATGTTCGAGACGAGTTTCACGTGCATAAGTTAATACTGATCGTAAGTCTTTTATACAAAAGAGCCTTTGTTTTTCTTTTGATAAAATTCAAATTCAGATATTTTCGTATTCCATTAAGACATCTATTAGCCATAGTAATTCTCTTTTGGATTTCAGTAGTACAATCGTTTCTATTGTTAATTTCCGAACCTTAATAAGTGTGAAACTGTAACCACAACTAATACACCTTATAATTCTGAGTCATCCTCAGATAATAAGGTATACACCTGAACTAGCATCTTACTTTCCCCATCCACGCCACATCAAAGCTAAAAATTACTGAGACGAGATTTTCTAACCAGGTGTCTTCTACCCCTTTTGGCCATTTATTTAATCAAATTATATCTGCTATCACTTTCCTTACAAAAACGCATCTTAACAATGGAATCAGGAAATATGTTGTTTTTCCCTAATCTTTAAAGACAATTTAATTTTTAAGCAACAGATAACGTTAAACGTGTGTGTGCCATTGTTTTTTCCTCTCTAGCAAGTGACCGTGGTAGCCGAGTGGTATAGGTATCGGACCGTGGCTTACCTTGTCACGAGTTCGAGCTCAGTACCACTAAAGACCCGCCGTGTAGGGCAGCGATGCACGTTAAATCTGTCGAGAGCTGAAACGTCCTCCCATTGGTGTGGTAGTTAGGAGAGGGGGGTGCCAGCTCAGGTGTCGTCCACGTCACTTGACCATGGTTCAAAATGACGTGGTCCGTCGCCAAAAGCCCTCGTGTAGCTGAACAGTGCGACGTTAATAATCAATCAATCCTCTCTAGCAAATTCAAGCCGTGTTCTGTCGCTCAGGGAATAGCGATTTTGGAGTTTTTGACTGAATAGATTTTTCATTATATAGTAAATGATAACATTGAATTTTAAAATTTAACTGTAATGCCTTTAGTTTCTCTTTTTTTTAATTTTAGAATTATTTTTTAGTGTATATTGTGATAAGTAAAGCATTTTTTGATTGATTGATACAAATGTAAAACAGCTTGTAATTACAAAATTATGAATTTCACGAATACTAAATTAAATGTAAATTTACCTGCACGTATATCTCTTGTCCTCTTTATATAATATTTGTGGCTATATAGACATTCTTAAAAAACATATATGCTACAGGTATGTCCATTTCTTATCCACCATGTTTGTTGGCGAAAGTAGGATATAACAAAGTTCTGTTACAAGCTGAATTTATTATATAAAATACGAAAAAGTAAAATATTCAATACTCTTTTTAAGCAATGTAAGTAATATTGTTGCGGCCCGAAGGTAGCGGGTGTAAGAGGGTTCGGGGAAGAAGCAGGAATGATCTTAAAAATAGCTACTGTTATTCTATCTTTAACACTTTATGAGTTATATACAACTTTTTTTATTGCTCAACTTTGGGAGCAATCTGAAGTCTTAACAATTTGATATTTTCGACTATTAAAAATTACTTATCTTCAGTAGGAGCTCCTTAGGACTATCCTTCTCGAACCTCGACAGCTCGGTCAGCTATAATGTTATTTGCTTCTACAACTCCGGGTGGATTCTACGACGAATATTAATTTCAGGACGTGTGACCTCCCAGTCGCAGTTCACCTTCTCTTAATCTTATGTTAAGATTTCACGATCTTTCGATTAACCATTCACCTCACATACCCAACGTCAGGGTTTAAATAGTAGTTACATTTTCATAAAATCAAGTCATCTTTATGGAAAGTGATTTTCAAATTAAAATCGCAGTTAAAGAATAGTTCCCCAAAAGGATTAGCAGAAGAACCCGGGGATAGCAACCGTTACAATATACCTTTTTAAAGATAATTTCTCAAAATTATACGCCATTGGATATAATATCTCCGCCCTTTATTATTATTATTTTTAATTTATATTCCAGTCTATACTATATCTGATCAACCATTTTTTGAAATTTGGGCCTTTTCTTTTTACGAAGCATGAACTTGTGAAAAAATACAGTCTTCGACCAAATTGTTATAACTTCCTTTGCATTTTTAATGGGAAATCACATTTATGCTGAAATTTATGCTTGTAAAATACAATTTTTTTCTGCCATTTTACGTATAGTTAAAATGAAATTCGGATAAATATTATAAATGTATTTTACACACCCAATTAAATGAATAATAAATCTTTTGTAAGATCTCGTCTTTTTTTGTCTTGTGGTCTTAAAACCATATTAAATTATTTGGCATACTTAGAGAGTAGAAACAATTGCAAATGAATTGGACACACATTGTACACATATAACTGTCACACATATTTTATTCTTCTCATATTGTCCTCCTGGTGACCTTGGTACCCTAGGGGTCAAGGTAACGGACTCGTGGCTGGCGTGTCATGAGTTCGATTCTAGAACCGCTGATGACCTTTTGTGTAGGGAAGAGGTGCAAGTTAAGTCTGTCGAAAGCTCAAACGAC